GATCATTTATAATTAACTATAGAATTTCCTATACATATACACACGGCCAATATGGGAAAATTAAGAGTTTATACTTTATAGCTGGCCATGTCTTTTTCGAAGCTTGACTTTGAGAAAGGTCCCCTTGTGTCATTCTATCCTATGCATGTATTATAGCACAATGGAAAAAGAAATAGATATTTCATTTTTGTATATAAATTAATACACGTATAAAAATTCTACAAGTTCAACTGCTTTTGGCTCCTTGCATTCGGAGTTTCCTTGCACACACACGATGCTTCCTCATCCAAAACTTGGTATCCAATGCTCTTGTCTTAAAAATAAGAAAAGGTACACATGCACACGTAGGGACACACAAAAATCCCACCATATCTCGTGTTAGTTACTTAGTTTTCAAACATCAAAAAAGAAAAAGGAAATAAAAAAACTAATAATTTTTAGATTGGGTGATGAGAGAATGAGTTTTATAAATAATTTTCCGACCAGATACGACCTCTATGTGCATAGATTCTCAATCTATGTCCCACACACACTGATATTCACGTATGAGAGAATGCCATCTTCTTCTTTCTTTATTCTCTTCGAAAAAAAACTTACCTACTGTTTCGGTGTCGTTTGGTAACTTTACTAGTATTTTACTACAAGATGATCTGTCCTGAAGTTCTTTTCAATTTTGTTAGGTTTCCAATATAAAAAAATTAAAGTTTATTTTACATTTTGAATCATATTAAATTATAAATTACAAATTATTGGATTAAAAAAAAACCTTTAATATTGAGAGAGAGTTCTCATGTCTAACATTTGATTTTTTATTATTTGATGAAGATTAAATACAAAAAATTAAATTATAAAACACTAAATTCTTTATATATTGCATTAGTGCAGTATTTTTTCTTGATGGCGGAATCGATTATTGGATGTTGTGCGCGCCCCAGCTGCTTTGGTAATTGGCATTGTATCCTCCTTGGAATGAGAAGCTTTGCAATTCTCAACCCTTTTAAGTATACATACTATGAGAAGTTATTTTGATAATCACAAGGAAGATGAATTTTATTAATATTTTGATTACATTCAAAATTCAAAAACTCAAATTAAAAGAGCGTTTGGAATGGTGGTTATATATATGTAGTTAGGGGATTGTTAATATAACATTCATATTTATTATCGAATTAGAGTCAGTCCAATTGGATGATTTTCAACTACATGTATAATTTTATATTGGTAGACGAGGTTTCCAAGCAGAAAAATTAATACAGGCAAGTTGCAACTGAGAATCCATGTAATATGGATCGAGTTGGCCTTATTATGTTCCCCTCACCCTTTACATTAATTATTATGTACTTTTTCTTGGTGTTTTGCACCGATAAAGTTAAGGGCAATGCAGCCATGTCTGTAAATTCCCTTTGTGTTTCTTTTTATAGCAATTGTCTCGGCACCATCCATGTGCGATCATTTTCAAATGTAGCGTTTTCGCGGTTTAGTTTGTTCTGTTATTTGATCTAATTTTTGGAACGGTATTTCTACTGTAAGGATAGAGCTAGCTAAGGCACTAAGCCTTTAGTACTCTAATGCATGAAATTATTGTAGTAGTAAAAACCTCATACTGAAAAGTTAAGAAGAAACGTGCATCTAAATGTAATGTATTACTATTGTGTTTAGCTCTATTTATTATTTTTCACATGGTATTAGAGCAGTGTAATCCAAAGCCTAGACCCCATTATCTACCCCATTGTTTTAATTTTAGTCCTCACATGAGTCCTGAAGCCCATACCATACTTACACATGAGACGTGGTGTGCTAATAATAAGCTCCCCCGCTAGTTAGTTGCAAAGTTTATATTGGGTCTAGATGCTGAAGAAGAATTGTTAAATGAGAAAAAAAAAATCTCACATTAAAAAATTATGGAGAAACAAGTTTTACTTTTCACAACATAAACCAAAAAAGGGCCGTATTAGTGAGTGCGATTGAAATTGAAACCGTCAATGTAACTTCATGTCTCATTGGAAGACCTAACTCTTCATATCAAGAATCATAAACACTTAAAAAGAACAAGCTCAATATATTTTCTTCTTCTTCTTTATAATAGCTGAATACCTTCTTCCCTGTGTGGGAATAGGGCATTGATCTTTGTATTAACTAAAGCTATAATTTAATCATATTTACATGTTAATTAAGAACAAAATTATATATGCAAATAACTTAAATAATTCAATAATAATCTTCTTTTGCTAAAAATTATAATTAAAAGAAGTCTCATATTATTTTATGTCCAAAAAATATGCTGCAATTCATGTCCATGTTGAGGACACATCGACGAGACAGCATATTGGAGTGCAAGCAACAGGAAAAAGGAAGATTGTCATGTACCCTGCCAATCAATATATACGGCCAAATATTGGCAAAAATTGCTAGCTGCAGCAGGCGGCATTGTCACCGACACTCCCTTTTTATTTTTAATTTTTCTTACTTTCTCCTGTGGGATTTGGAACTTTGGACACCTCCCCCTGTATTAATTTCTTCGGACACATTGTACGGTCTATATGCTTCCCTATTGCATTTTCTTTTCAATCAGATAGACAGAACAGAAGTACTCTTTTGAATTGTTTAGGGCAGATGTGAAATAGTTTTTAGGTTATAATTGAAACTTGGGAGCAGAGGTTTTTAATTTGAGTCTTCATGTTAGTTACTGGCAGTGGATATATAGGTGAGGATTACCACCTTTCAAATTCAAATTCCAAGTTAACTATCATTCTAGAATTCTAACTAAGGATTTAGAGAATAAATCATGAGAAATTACCTCTTTGTGATTGCTTATTAAAATTGATTTAACTAATTATTAATTCAATCTTTTGGTGATACAGCCTATAAAAAGAAAAAAAAATCTCTTAGTGATGTTGTTGATCATAATTATTTAACTTATAATTTAGATGATCAATTATGACACATGAACGGATTGGATTGATTGCAGCACTTTGGATATGCATATCATGGTCAAAATGGGTTATCCTACTAATCATTATACCTTAAAAACTAGAGTATTTAGATTAAACTTCCCAAATACCTGGAAGCATTCCAGATTGAGTCATCCTGTTAATTAGCTCTATTTATGTAATGGACCTATAATCCCATTGCTTATTAAAAAAATAATAATAATGGACATATAATATATTATTTTTACTATAAATTTAACTTTTTTACTCTTAGTTTAGGGTATTCTTCTCCCTACTCAGTTATTCACTAAAGTCAATCTCAAATCAATATGCTTTTTAATACTTTTTAATGAAATCACCAATAAGTGGTTGGCTGACAATATTTCAAGCCATTCTTCATTGGAAGCATTATTGCGCTTTAGCTATAAGAATGTGTTTGCTGGCTTTGGTTTCTTTCATGTAGAAATCAAGAACTCCTCTGTAAGTTTCAACGATTTGGGACTGTGCTCCTAGTCCTAGCTATTAAATATACCTTTAATCATGATAATTGATAACCTGCACTAAAACTAATTATACCATCTCTCTAGAAGAAGCAGGCCACTGTCTTACTCCTTTTTTGGATTTGTACAGTTTAAGTTTCCTAAAGTTACTTGACACGCTTTCAAAATCATTTTTTTAAAAGTGATTTTTAAAGACATAACCTATGGACTTAATATATTAAAAAAAACTTTCTTGATATTAATTAAAATTGAAATTTTAAACTTGATATAAAATAATATGTAGAAAAATAATTTAGGGATAACTTTTTTTATATAATTTTATATGTCATTTAAATTATTAGTTATTTTTATTTATTTAGAATCCATGATATTAAATATATCCATTCATTTAATAATATGTAAAAATTGGATAAAAAAGTGGTATAAAAAGATTGTCTCTATATCACCACCTTAATATATATGATACAATTAAAATTTTACTCAATAAAGAAGGATAAAAAATAAAAGTGATGATATATGGACAATCTTTTTATATAATTTTGTATACAACTTCTACATATAATATATTCAATATTACGAGTTTTAAATAAATAAAAAAATTAATCATTTAAATAATACTTAAAAATTATTATAAAAAAATAATATTAAAAAATTATTTCTAAATCATTTTCCAAAGAATAAAAACGATGGAATTCATAAGTGATAGATTTTCATAGGCGCAGATTGCAAAGTCAAAGCCGAAATTAAGCGTAGTTCAAATCCTTTCTCCAACCTATAGGGATTTAAGATTGGAATAGACGTATAGAATAACGACATTTTCCTTCCAATAACTTCAATTCAATCCCAAATTATAGAGACAGCAACGTCGTCCATTCAAATGAAGAACATTTCTAATTCCAACCAAATTATAATATTATGACAAATTAATCAAAGGGTTGCTTTCAAATCCTCCTATTGAAATTTCATGATGCCATCATCAAGATAGAAACCAAAATTTTATTGTTGTTAACAATGTCCACATCTTGCATGACAAAATTTAAACACCCTTTATAATATCTCTGCACAGTGCTCTCAATGCTTTCAAGTTACAACCAACATCATCGGTGATCTCGGTGAAACCAATCAGGCATCCGATTCCTTTGTTCCTCTATTTCTCCAATCCCCAAGAAAATAATGCTGTCTTCCATGGAGAATAACCCTGGCTCTTCACTGGATCATATCCACTTCCCTCACCTCCCACCTGGTTTCAGGTTCCACCCATCTGATGAAGAACTCATAGTCCATTATTTGAAGAAGAAAGTCACTTCAAGTCCTCTCCCTGCTTCTATCATCGTCGAAATAGATCTATACAAGCATGATCCATGGGAACTACCAAGTCTGTATAAGAATATCTTCTTAATCCATCTTCTATATTGCCTTTTATTTTTTAACTTACTAATTAACAGTAGCTATTTTGTGTAGCAAAAGCTGTGTTCGGAGAGGATGAATGGTACTTTTTCTCCCCAAGAGATAGGAAGTACCCGAATGGAGCAAGGCCTAACAGGGCAGCTGCTTCAGGGTACTGGAAGGCGACTGGAACAGATAAACTAATCCTCACTTCATGTGGAACAAAGGCTATTGGAGTGAAGAAATCCCTTGTGTTCTATAAAGGCCGCCCTCCTAAAGGAACCAAGACAGAATGGATCATGCAAGAATATAGATTGCTTGATTCCATATTTTTCTGTACTTCCAGGATAGCTATGAGGGTAAGCTTCAAAAGTTGATTATCTTTACAAAGAACAAGATCAGGAAACAGTAAACTTAACTGGTCATATTTGTTTGCGGTTGGACGATTGGGTGCTTTGCCGATTAAAGAAAAAGATCAGCTTTCCTGAGAATGTTTCGAGTAATGAAATAAATGGCCACCTCCCAGGATTGATTCAGTCATGGCCTTCAAATCCTTACCCAGATGGTGAGATGATCAAAGGTTATCTATACAATGACTGCCCCATGTTGCCTTACATCTTTTCCTCCCCCGGTATTCCCTACACTGAAAAAACCTCAAGCCTAAGCCTCCAAAGCAGCCCGAATTCTTGCATTTCTGTCCATCAGGAGGATTATGAGAAGCAGAACCTGCAGATTCCAGATTCTTTGGAGAACTTCTTTAACCGTTTGAAAAGAAAGCTGATGGAGCAAAACCAGGGGAAGAGTTCTACTGTCCTACCAAGCAATAAACTCGTGAATGGAGATGCTGCTATGCATTGCAGTGACATTAATAACTGTCGTGGAAGAAACAGAGACCAGTCTGAGGGCACCAATTTCAGTCCTGATGTATGGAATTCCACCTTCCAGTACCAAGAACTTAATCACTTGGACTTCAGAGGAACCTCTACATAGGTTTTACAAGAAAACCCATACATTGACATTATTGCAAAAGCTGCTAAAGACTGCAGATAAAAGTATTTGAAACCCAAAAAAAAAAAAAAAAACCTATATATGGTGATATCGTGTGATTATAAGGTGGACAGAATACAGATGGTGATTTATTTCACATGATTTGTCTGTATATTTGTAGGCAGGTGGCAGAGTTGAGCTTCGTGAATGTATGCATATGCATATTGATATTGTATAATGATATTTGTACATAACACTTGAGTAGTACACGTCTAAATGGCTGTTAGAAGCTCATACCAATTTCCTACCCTGCGTTATTAAGAAGTAAGTTGAAGCTGCTTGCTTTTGTTTAAATTGTTTGGGGCCTTTGGATACAAAGACAAAGTTCACGACTCGTGTTTGGTTGTAAATAATGACTATTCCTTCGGCAAAGGGGTAAAATTAAGAAACTAAATTTTTTGTTTTGAACAAACGTGAAAATTGAGAGACTTAATTAACAAATTGAGAATAGCTAACTTTTAGATTAATTATTTTCTACTTGCTTAGTGATTAAGGAATAGGTATCATTACAGTTAATGATTAAGGAACAGAAATTAACTAGCTCTTACTCAATTTTCAATATAAACACTATGAATTTAAATATTGATGATTTAACCTCTCTTTTTTTTTCAACATTGATCATTTAACTAATTAAGAAATTTTTATTCAATATAAATGAAAGATAACTAGGAATAATTTAAGACGTTTTTTGTACCTAAAGATTAATAAGACGGGACCATCTAAGAATAAGACCATCTTGTATTGATGTTATTGACAGTTCTACTAGTTCTTTCTAGTGAAAGCCCTGCCTATTGGGCCTCGCAATCCATAGAAGCATCGTCCATCATAATGCACCACAATACTACAATGATGTACACATGTACATCTATCATGATTGCACATTATGGTCTCTACAGGTATCCAAAGGAAAAACCCGCCAACAAGCCTTGAGCTCAAACGCTCCTGACACGTTTTAAAGTTTGAAAGGGAAGCTTGGTCTAGATTCATAAGTCATAATCAATGAAGATTCTCTGTTGTCGAATATAAAGGGGTTTGTAAGGGTAGAAGCACAATAGGAAGTTGTACACTTTAGGCATAATTGGGAGTTGCACTCTTTCCAAAGAAAATAAAATGGTCAACAAGGTAGACACAACATGATTTATCACTTTGATAATGACCTAGAGGTGCTGGACTACTGATCATTAAAACAGAGTACAGCCTGTGGTATTATTATTCCAGCTAGCACCCAGGCACTAGGGCCACGGTGACTGCGGCTGAATGTCCATGTGTTTTGATGCCCCATATTCAAGAACTAATCCAAAAATAAACAATGAGCTAGACCAATAAGAAATGTCGATTGTGCTTTCACATCCAATAAGAACATATCATAAGACCCAATTGCTTGAACTTTCCAAAAGCACAACCACCAAGATGCTGGCGACAAGTTTGGCCAAGTTTGGAGCCTTATCCCTTATCCTACAAAACCGCCCACCACCATCTGACCTTCACCGGTACGATGTCAAAAATTAATATTCAAGGAACACAGTAATAGAGGTTTAAAGGAGAGGTTGCATAGGCTGTTTACAAACACAATCCTCCATCTCCAATTAGGTTGATTTCACATTGCGATAAATTAATCCATTTAATACATGAAAGTTGAAACTTGCCTGAATAGGTGACAATATAGTGACTCTTCTTGCTTCAAGCTCTATGGCATAAAGATGTTCAATTAAGGGAAGAGATAACACCTTCAATTAAAGGACATAAAATAAATTGGTACTAGACTAATGTACAGACATTACAGATGTCAAATTTGTATAAAACGATAAACTCAAATTTTTCCAATGTCAAGAATGACTTTTAAACACAAGAAACAACAAAAAAAATATAAAACCAACACGATAGCTTGTCCCCAGATGGGAATGCCAGCAGAGCCAATAGCAGCATAAGGCATCCAAGTAGTTCTTTGCACCACATCACTTCTTCAGGACACTGCAAGTGAAGCACACTCAGAATGACTTCTTAAAAGTAAACAGAAGAAATAAGATCTTAAATTGTCTTAATTATTTTAAAACGGGGAAAAATCCAGTGACGAGTGTACACAGTAGAGGACAACATCAAATGAAATACTGTATTTAAGTAGAATGGAGTTCATGTTTGCAAGCCACCACTTGTATGGGATAGAAGCTTACTTGTATAAATAGGCTGCAATTCCCAAGACTATGCACAGCAAAACAATATCAATACAGAAATTTCTGCTGGACCTCAACTGGAAAAGAACAAAAAGTTTATGTTAGATCTAGCCTAAAACTACCAACAGCTAAAAATGGGTTTCAATTTATGGTGTAAGCTTGATCACCTGGGTGACAGTATCTTTAAGTCTAACGTTGGTATTCTTAAGGTCAGCCGCAGCCTTGTCCACCTGTAAATATATAAAAAGAAAATGATATAGGCTATAAAATTTAGCAGTTCCTAGATTTCTAGATTTACAAGGTTATGATGTTGCTGACCTTAGTGTCAATTTCATCCATCAGAGGAACTTGCCTATCCAATTCCTGCAGTTATCAGATGATACCATGAATTAGCACATATGGATGTTTCAAATCCTAACCCAAAACGTGTTTCAATGTGTTAAAAATTATAATCAAGACAGCTTACCTCATTCATATCATGAGCCATGTTCTTCAATGTATCCAAACCTTCTGAAATCATATCCAAACCTTGATCCTGCAGGGATGTTAAAACAGATAAGAACATTGCATGGTCAAACTACAATCAACAAGAAGTCATCCTGATGTATCTGACTTACCTGTTTTATTCTTCGCATTTCATATTCCTGCTTAAATTGACTTGACTGCTCACTTTCTTGAAAGTATTCATCATCAAACCGTCCATCTTTGACAATCACAAAACCATTTAGGTCAAAAAAGTATAAGGCTGCTAACCATGAAGACGCAATGATCAAAATGGAGTTACGAAACAAATTTGTGTTGACTTACTGCCATTAAGCATCTATTATATAGCATATTTTGTGTGTGTGTGTGTGTGTGCAGGCGTTTTTGTTTTGCATTGATTGCATGTTCTTGAATTCTGCTGTATGGCCATTGCCTAAGGCACATCTATCTTTGTAGAAGACTTAAAACGAAAATATGGCACCATTAATTGTTTGCACACCAGATTAATTTGATTATCAGAACTTGCAATTTCAAAATATGAAGCCCCACCAAAGAACAAATGAATGAAATTAACAAGCAATTTTTATAAGGTCAAAAAATCACCTGAATCAAATCTGATTTCAGTACGAGAAGCTGAAGCTGAAGACATCCAGCCTCCAGTTTGTTTCGGAGCAGCTGCAGTTCCATCTGGTATGGCTTGAATCCTATCTGGCAAGGCAAGTACAAGATCATTGCGAGCAGCAAATTCTTCAGGTGCAAGCCCTTTTACCTGAAAATGGTCATCCCACAGAAATGCAGCAAAGTCAGTAGCATGCCATGCTGGCCATATGAAGAAGGCATTAGATTAAAACAGCTCACTTGCAAAACTGAAAGGTAATCAAAATGCACCCGAATGATGAACTACAGAGGAAGAAGGCATTAAATCACAACATCTCACTTGCCAAATCAAAAGGTATTCAACGCCCTTAAATGATGAACTAAGAACTATTATAAGAATTCAAAGACATTTTTCATTTGCTAAAATCAAAATTGCAACCTGATGGGCACTTTGCCAGCATTAACAAAGATGGACTGCTTTCAAAGCAACTAACATCAAGTTCAGATCAAAGATAATTTATAAACGAAGACAAAAAAATTTCGAAAAGAATCAATACATTGATTATGAAAAGAAACATACCTTTTTTAGAGCCAATCTCTGCAAATTGGGGACCTCCTCAAGCAACCTAGCTTTAGTTCGACGGATCTCCGCGTTCAAGGCAACAGCAGATGCTTTTTTTTTCTCATTTGAAGCAGCCTCAGCTTTCTACAAAAAAAATTATTCAAAATCCGACGGAAATAAGCCGAAATCCCTAATTCTAATGAACAAGAAAGCAGATACAGATTCAGATCTCGAATCTAAAATGCCTAAACACAAATCAAACTTAAACACATAAATCTCCAAAAACTTAGTGTAATTCCAGCACTTTGACTTGATTTACTTACTTCAATACCAAAATCACTAAAAATCATCGTATTTTGACTTTCAATTTTACTTCACTTTCTACTCGCAAATTCTCACAGCAACCAAACAGGAGAAGAGTGAAAAACATAGTGAGAGAAACAGATCCAAGTTACCTGAAGAGTGGCTTCAATGTCAGCTTCAACGACGGCGTAGAGTCTGGCGAATGCATCATCACCGGCGATATTCTGGTCCCTCTGCTTTTCGACGTCGTACCTGTCGTACTTCTTGCAGATCGCGTCTACTCTAGTCAATATATCGATCACACTCATCTTGTTTCAGTGCTTAGACCGATAAAGGATTTTTAGAGAGAAAGCAACAGAGTTTTAGTTTTAATCGTTTCCGCTCAGAAACCGGAACAGATAAACACCGGCTTGTGAGGTTTCCAGAATTTCAGACCGTAAGTTAAAAGTAAAGACGTCAGGTGAGGACAATTTTTTTAACAGCCTTTGTTTGATAATAATGCATTTACACAGAATTAAAATATACATTAAACTGCAAAATAATTTTTAATTTTTTAATATAAATTGTATTTAATCGTAAAATTAAAAAATTTGAAGAAGATTAAGGTCCTTATATAATAAGTCAATAATCATTTAATAATCTCGAAATTACATAATAATTTTTTATATTGATATAAAAAAATTTTATTTTTAAATTATGTTAAATTAAAAAATAAATCATCAAATGAGAAAATAATTTTCAATACCAAATAACTTATTCTTTTAAAAAATTTGTAAATTATATAGTTTTTTTTTTTTTACGGTAATGCTATAGTTACAATATCACAGAAGATCGTGAACTACAATTTTAGGTGATATTTAATAGAATATAATGTAATATTAAACGAATAAATGCATATAATATTACGAATAAATTTTTAAATAAAAAAATTAATTATGTAATAATACATCATATTGTATATTTATTATATACATGGTATTATAAATATAATATTTTTATTTTTTTTAACCATACACAATAAGCTAAATTCCTTTTCTTGAGAGAGAAGTTATTACACTAATCAAGCACAAAAATAATGGCTTTTCTTTCCTTTGGCCTTAGCATACGTTGAGCTCATGATAAAACAAGACAACATTTGAAGGATTCAAATTTGATTTTCCACTGATTACCAAAGCAATTGCTATGGTCTTCCATTCCATGGACCAAATAAAATTTTAAGATGGTTTGCCCAAAAAAAAAAGAAAAAAGTATAAAGAAAATTTTAAGATCCAAGTTTTCAAAACCCAGTCCATTTCAAGTGACATTAAACCTTTTGATTTTGCCAAATCTAATTAATTAACCTAAAGTTTTTCCAACTAATTTTTCTAGATGTCAAAACGTTGCATCCGTCTTGGGATGACAAACATGTTCCCTGCCAACATTTGTCAACATATTGATATTCATCATAAATGCGTTGGTGGTAGGTTTTTTTCCAAGAAAGAAATTGGCAAATGGGCCACAATTCAAACAGATTATCATGCCTAATCTCTACAAAAAGCAATTAATAATGCTTGAATCTTAAGTCATCAAGCTTAGATCAAATATCAAGTAGAACATCTTCACCACCAGGAAAATGCTATCGCACTGGCCTTTGTGGGCCACTTAGCGAATAAACAACATTAGAGTTGCATTTCTAAGCAACTAATATCAAGTTTGAATTTTGTACCAAAAAAATTTTAAGTTTAAATTTAAGAGAAGATTTATAATTATTTATTAGTGCTTTCATTTAATTTAATAAAAAAA